ACCATGCCGCAAATAAACGGTCAGATAACCAATTGTCATGGGCGATTTGCGCAATTAGTGTGTTTCGGAAACTGTCCAGAATTGAACGATGAGAATAATCGATAGATCTGTCATTTGCTCGTTACGTATGCGTGTACAGGACGCTGCAAGACAGGTCATGACAGTGTGCTTGTGAAATATTGAAAAGGTTCCGGGAACGGGTGCACGTGTGTGTGCATATTCATCTAGCGCTTAGTTCAATTCTGTTGCGAGACCCTGTTTAGTCCGTCCCTTGTTTGATTTATCAGTTTACGCGCATGCTGAGATTTGTTGGGGAAAAAACGGAGAGTTCACAGCTGTTGCATTGACTTTTCCTCTGTCCCCGCCCCCACCCTCCCATCTATCCTTCTGCCACAGTCACACACAAAAATGTGGGTTCCAATTTCTCAGCAGATAACATACAACTCACCAGTTCACACACACACACACACACACACACACACACAGTGTGTGTGTGTGGTTCTTCGCGTAGGGACAGTGAACGTTGTTGTGTGCATACCGGATAGAATATACGCAACAGCAAAATACGTACGTGGTAGTAGTAAAAAACGCACGACTTAGTTTAGTTGTTTCCAGTCTGTTAAAGGGATCCGCGCAGGCCATCGTAAATCGGGTATGTGAATGTTTAGCAGACATTTTACGACAGAAATAAATCAAATAGGTGAGAAAGAGTGATACCAGCCTGAAGCAGCAGGCGACATGGTAACCTTAGAGACAGGACAAACACACGCGCATACACACACACACACACACACACAGGGAGAGCTTATATTCACAAGAAACGGTGTGATTGTGTTGGAAAAAGCCTCGAATTCGAAACGGGATGAGGAGTATAAACTGTTATTTTGGAGAGAGAGAGAGAGAGAGAAAACACAAGTTAGTCAATCGTTCAGACTGAAATCTGTGATGCACACACACACATACACACGCACATTTTCAAACAGATAAGATTCCCAACGAATAGTCCAAATAAGCACAATTATTACGTCACGGAATGGAGTCTTTTTTTTCTCTCTCTCTCATTTCACTTAGCCCAAAGAAAGATGTCAGTCTGTTCTGGAAAATCCAGACTGTTTGAGTCACCACCTTCGTGAAACGGTGGTCACTGTGAGTGAAATAACGTATCAGTGAAAAACTAGCTCTGAATAAGCATACTCACAGCTCTCCCCCGTATCCTCACGGTTTGTAACAGTATTCATATTGTCTAAGTCGCCCTGAGTACATTCTACCCATAAAACACGTGATATCCCCAAGATCATTTTGGTCATACGGCGTAAGGTTGACCCTTCAGGGCCTCTGAGTTCAGAGGACATCCGCAACTGGAAGGCAAGCGTTTAAAACAATAAAAATGATTGCTTCTGTGATGACGTGTCACAATGTCTGTGCTACTCCATTCCGTCGCGAAGTCAATCGACTGTAACTGGTCAATGACAAACAATCAGGGCAGAAAAACAAAATGAATACCGAGAAGAATCAAACCATATCTGTGAGCACCAACCAGTCACTCACCCGATTTCGCCTCGGTTCCAGATACCAATATCGTACGTGACGTACACCGACAGTGACAAAAAATTGTCCCGTTGGACTGAAAGCAACTCCGTTCACCTGAAAGAATCAGATTGGAATCAATATGTACGAGGTGTGTCAGTCAATCTGAGAGAAAGTGAGAAATTTATCCGGAAAACTTTATAAACATTTTGAGTGGAGGGAGGTGGGAAGCAAAACCAACAGAATTAACCGGAGGGTGTGCGTAGTATCCGCGTTTTCATCATGACGGTGCTCTCACCGTCGACGCGGAAAATATTGTTCGGTGCATGGAATGGTTGAATGGGTTGGAAACCTTTACATAATATATATATATATATATATACATATATATACCATATGAAGCTAAAGCTGAGACTAAATTCCTCCTACCTCTACACCAGGTGATGGTCTGACCGCCGCTGAGCTTCTTCCAGTCTCG